GAATCTTTCTAATAGACTTCGTATTCGTCTACTGCACACAGCTGAGGCGATAGGCATTCGAACTATTAAACCTAAACTATGCATTCAAAAGAAGTTCGTGCAGCCATTATCCCTCCCGTGGCCTAATAAGACATAACCAACGAAAGACTTCTACACCACCCTTTATTTATATTTCCAACCCCTTTCTTATCATCCCTTAATCTTATCTTATATTCATTATAAACGTGTTTCATTTCCTTCCCCTACAATCTAACATTACGTAATCGGTTCATTTGTTTTTACTAGCCTTTATCGACTACTTCCACCTGAACAATTGTTTGTTTAATCATACTGTTTTTCATTATTCGTGTTATCACAGATTGCCTCATTTTTTCATCCTTATTATTGATAAGACCATTATTATTATTATTACTATTATTAATATTATCATTACCACTATTATGACTAACTGCACAATTTATATTCACCATCGTATTATCCTATAGACAAAACACCATGATTGGTTTATATTTGAATTTTATTTGTAAACTTATATATATTAGAGTTAAGCCTGATGAGATCTAATTGAAAACAATATTGTTCGCTTAAATGTGTTGTTCTAAATTTTACTATGGGAATATTTAATATATTGAAATCTCGCGGGGATCCTATTGCATTTAAGGCACTCAATGAGTACCTGAAATTTAGTGCAAGGCTCGCTGAAGCGAAAACATCGTTGGAATTTTTCAAAGAATGTGTAGAAACCGAACGTTATCCCAAACTATATTGGAGGTCGTTAAGACGAATGAGGATTTATCCTAATTCTAAGAATTTAAAAAGACATGCTCTTAATCAGATTGATTCTGTTAAAACTCTTATAAATGATCTAGAAAGGAATATATCACAAAGACAATTTTCAGTTGATGATTTACCTCAGGAATTACAATTGATGTTCATTGAATATGTTAATAACGTAACAGTAAACAGAAGTAATAATAAAAGGATTAGTCTTGTCAAATCTCTCGAAAGCCAAAAGCTTGAAAGGAAATTTCCGTCAGATCCGGGCCGGTATGTTCACAATTTTTCCAGTATCGTGCTTAATAAGTTTCAATTAGAGGTGTTATCCCTAGGTCCCAAATTTAGTGATTATGCTCCTAAAGTTGATCAATTAGACACTGATATACAGTTTGAAAATTTGTATTCTCAAACGTCAGATCTTACGCCATCGTCGGACGATGAACTAACTAGGTTCAAAACGACGCTAGTGGACAGCTGCCAGCAATACAAGAATAATAAACATTCAGTAAATAGTCTTTTATCTAAACAACACAGAGAAGCTCTAAGAGAACTTAGAAGCAACGAAAGTTTAATCATTAGCAAGCCGGATAAAGGTGATGGTATAGTTTTACTGGACAAAAGCGATTATGTTGAGAAAATGGAAGGTATTTTGAGTGATCAAACTAAATTCCAATCGCTTGGTGTTTCCAAAGACCTCAATGTAAGAGCTGAGAAACAAATGACTGACTCCCTCAAAAAACTGAACCAAATAGGAGTATTATCATCAACCACGTATGAGTCCATGAAACCTACGGGTACCAATACTCCACGTCTTTACGGTCTACCAAAAGTGCACAAACCGGGTCTTCCTCTTCGCCCTGTTTTAGATATGTATAACTCTCCATTTCACGGAACAGCGAAGTGGTTAGTTAAGATCCTGGGTCCTTTGCACAGAGAAATTGTGCAACATAGAATTAGTGATGTTTTCGACTTTATTTCTAAAATATCCGAGACTAATGTGAGGTGTAAACGCATGTTATCCATGGATGTATCATCACTATTCACTAACGTACCGCTTTTGGAAACAGTGGATTATATTTGTCAAGAAATCACCGATAGGCAATTAGACTTAGGAATCCCCTTGTGTAGCCTCAAAGAATTACTTCTTAAATGCACAATGAATGTTCACTTCGTCTTCAATAATTCATACTATCGACAAGTAGATGGAATAGCTATGGGTTCACCATTAGGCCCAATATTAGCTGACTTCTTTCTCGCAAAACTTGAAAACGGGAAATTGAAGGATACCATCAAGGAGTTGGATATGTATTACCGATATGTCGATGATACATTTATCTTAGCTGATGAGAAGGTTAACACAGACGAATTGTTAATTAAATTCAACAACATCCACCCTTCGCTTACCTTTACTTGTGAAGAGGAGCAGGAGAATAAACTACATTTCCTGGATGTCTTGCTAAGTAGGAGAGAAGATGGGTCACTTGGGAGAAGTGTGTACAGAAAAAGCACATTCACAGGGCAGTACACACACTTCCTTAGTTACGTGCCCATTAAATATAAAAGGAATCTTGTAAAATGTCTCGCGAGCAGAGCAAGGAAGATATGTACGGAGGACCTCTTACAAAAGGAATTTGAATATATTCACGATTCCTTGACGGAGATGGGTTATCCGAGTAGTTTCATAAAGAAACATATGAAACCATCAGAGAAGAAACCTGTGACTCTGACTGCACATAAGAAACCTCTATTTATTAAGTTACAATTTAATGGGGACTTATCTAGTGAGATTCTATTCCAAAGACTTTCAAGGAGCATACGTAGAACATTTTACGCAGCACACCTATGTTTGTCATTCTCTAGCCGACGAATGATTGGGACGCAAACGAAGGATAAGCTTGATAGTTTTGCCACATCTATGTGTATTTATCAATTCAACTGCACCTGCGGTGACAGTTATATTGGGCGTACTACTAGACAGCTTAGCCAACGTGTTAGTGAACATCTCCCATCGTGGTTTGGCAAAGGACAGACAAAAACAATCCGTAGCTCAATTCTGTCACATCTAATTGATAGTGGTCATGTAGTCGATAAAACGAAAGCCTTCAAAGTAATTCATCGTATCCCTCCGAATCTTTCTAATAGACTTCGTATTCGTCTACTGCACACAGCTGAGGCGATAGGCATTCGAACTATTAAACCTAAACTATGCATTCAAAAGAAGTTCGTGCAGCCATTATCCCTCCCGTGGCCTAATAAGACATAACCAACGAAAGACTTCTACACCACCCTTTATTTATATTTCCAACCCCTTTCTTATCATCCCTTAATCTTATCTTATATTCATTATAAACGTGTTTCATTTCCTTCCCCTACAATCTAACATTACGTAATCGGTTCATTTGTTTTTACTAGCCTTTATCGACTACTTCCACCTGAACAATTGTTTGTTTAATCATACTGTTTTTCATTATTCGTGTTATCACAGATTGCCTCATTTTTTCATCCTTATTATTGATAAGACCATTATTATTATTATTACTATTATTAATATTATCATTACCACTATTATGACTAACTGCACAATTTATATTCACCATCGTATTATCCTATAGACAAAACACCATGATTGGTTTATATTTGAATTCTTATTTGTAAACTTATATATATTAGAGTTAAGCCTGATGAGATCTAATTGAAAACAATATTGTTCGCTTAAATGTGTTGTTCTAAATTTCTAATTGTATTTCTCCTTCTTAAATAGGGAAACACAACTATGATGAAGAATCCTTAAACTCAAATTGATTCTAAATTTTTCTTAAATACGCTTAGCCAAGTTTGATGATAGGAATAATTAAAAAAAATTTTGCGTTACAAATCAGGTGAGTCATATATTAGTGATATACTGGTGTCAGCGAAGTGTTTCTTTTCGGCAAATTTATTTACTTCACTGTACAATCGCAATTATATACACTTATTTTTACGTGTGAGTGTACATCAGGCTTGTCCGATAAGAATAAAAATAAGTTGGGGATATTGTTGTCAAGACATTTCAAAAATGTGATGAGTAATGAAATTGTAACTAGGGCATGGGTGAAGATGGGTAAGAGGTTGGTGGTAGTGTCTTGTCAAAAGGACAGTTATTAATGTTAATCAATACATGAAAGAAGTCGAATAAGCGTCATACAGTTACGTAAAAAAGATGAATAGTTTATTGAGTGAGTTGTGATTAGGATGAATATAGAAACAAAGGAAAATATGGAATGATGTAAGAGTTCTGAAACTTACAAACTTTATAAGGAGTTAGGACAACTTACCAAAGGCAATACACTTTCGTCTTCTTTATATTGCTGAAGCCTTAGCCATTCATTTGAAAAAACCAGAGTTATGTATACAAAAGAAAAAATCTTCCAACCACTTCTACTATCATGGTAACAACCGTGTTGACTTTTATTGACTTGATGCTTGTGTGCCTCTTTCTTTTTCTAACTCCTTATAACATTTGTAAGTTTTAGAACTCTTACATCATTCCATATTTTCCTTTGTTTCTATATTCATCCTAATCACAACTCATTCATTAAACTATTCATCTTTTTCCCGTAACTGTATGACGCTTATTCGACTTCTTTTATGTATTGATTAACAATAAGAATTATTTCTTTTGAAATTAATCTGATGCTTGTTAGTGACTTGCCACAAGACGCTGTTTCCTGGAGTATTAGTGAGAAGTCGTGACCAATGAGGATGGATGTCCTCCCGATGACACTGGTTGTTGGTCGCGCTAAATCACGAATTGGTAGAAGTTAGAATTTATGCACTGGCCATTGGATCGGGTCCCGGTGGCTCACTGGTCTACGAATTGCCTTGTAACCAAGAAGTCATGGGTTCGAACCCCTGTGGGTGCGTACTGCCGAAGATTCCCGAGCTAGGATGAAACAGCTGTCCAGTACCCCAGGTCTTCCTATTGTCTCTAACCAATGTCAGCTCATGATGAAATCCTGCATGCAAAAACCCAACTCACTTTTGAGTCACGTCCACCCACGTTCATTGAAGAATTCATTTATCCATTCATTCAGTAAAAGTCACAATTGCTTAATGAACAAAATTTGAAAAGGTAGAAAGTCTAGTGTAAAGAATGAATTCTTTCGAACTGACCAATGAGAAAATTCCTTTTTTAAAACAAATTATTTTATTTAGATTTTTTTATGATGTCAGTTAACAAGTAATTTTGATACATTTAAACAATGATATAAATATGGAATGTTATCCGGTCTAGTTATATATCCTGTGTTAATATTTTGACCCGTCAGACAAACAGAATTTTATACTGAATAACTGGTAGGTTCTTGAATACCACAATTTATTTATGGGTTTAAACATAACTAGTAATATTTGGATTGATTTTATTTACGCTTGTATCCGAAAGCATACTATGAATTTTGAAGTGTTCACCTTAGGGTTATGTCATGCAAAATGGTACGCATTTTATTGATACCCACCGTTGTTTTTTTATACACAAGTAATATTGTCCCCTGATTTACTTCACTCCAGCATCCCCTTTATTTAAGATAATTAATAAAATAATGCAGTCTGAGCGTTTTTGTAAAGAATAATGTATAATTCTGCTGCCATGCATCCAATTAGCGACCATTATTCCTACAGAATAACAAATGGTGTATGTATAAATTGTTCATAATAATGAACTGAAATATAAAAATGAAGGAAGTCCACACACCATTGTTACATCAGTGTTCAGTAAGATATGAAATCACGTACTGATGCGTACACATATATGTCACTATCGATATGGTATTTTTGAATGACCAGTCTAGTACCTTTTCAAATCCGCAATTGTAATATGTATTATTAGTATGAAGCCAATCATGAAACTTCATAATTTTAACTGCAGTAATTATCATGCTTATTTAATGACTAGCCTAATTTAAAGGGCTAAAGTTACATTCGCTGATATCTATTAATAGATTCCTGGTGCTTTTCCAAACTTGTATTTGTTAATCTCATCATTCGCCATTAACAATGAGGTTACACTTAGTGGAGTTATAAAAGTGAAAATCTATTTAAACGTATATTATGTAGCGCTGATTGAAGGCACAATACGGGTGTTAGTTCATTTGTAAAGCCATTTCATTGTATTGTAATGTATCACAGTGCTATATATTTCGCAAGTATCAAGTGTTGGTTTGCAGGGATTTGATATTTATAAAACAAACAGGTTAGTTAAAAAGTGCACTGATTACTCAGTGATCATTTATGGATACGTTGTTTCTGTTATTCTTTTAAACAGTATAAACGACGCTACTATGTTTCCATCTGCGAAATAAACAATCTCATGAAGTTAATTTTGCATAGAATAAAAACACTAACTAGTTTATGAAGTCACTTGACGATTGTTTTGTTTGGCAGGATCTTATAAAAGTGCAATACATTATTTTTGATTTTGCTCGTAAAATGCAACTAATGCTACCTGATGAAAATATATCTGGTGACCAACTTGAAATACACTCTCTTATTAAAAAAACTTCAATTTGGATATGACAGCTAATTTTCGAAATGTTGTATTGAAAACCGGTTTTTCTTTGAGGTCTCACAGTCCGACCAAGTGTGAGCTGAAATGAATTCAAAGTAAATTGGGACATTTTTACCTTATTTGAGCTTGAAAACGGTATTTAGGATCTGTGAATTGCAGACAATATTTAAATAACGGGATTCGTGAAATCTTTCAACAGAGTACATCTGAATCTACCAAAAATAATTTGTATGGAATCTTTGAAATCTGTTTAAGATTGGCGTAATATTAGTAGCTTTACAAAAGCTCAAGTAAACACAGCTCACTGCATTTTCTGAATATAAACTTATACGATAAAAATGAAAGTTGAAGTAGTCGGAGAGAAACAACTATCTTCAGTCATACTCCAAAACGTCTCTACATTGAAACGTGATCCTTTAAATACTTCATAATTTTTATACAGGCAATCTGTGGCATCATAAGGTTGACGTACTAATATTTATGTGATACAATATGACTGAAATCGGAATGAAAACTAAAACAGCGGTAGGACTTCAGCTTCTGGTCTGAGTAATATCTGTCTCGCTTACACCTTCTATAAAAATTAATTTAGCTGCCTTTACTTCATCGACCGTTGGTCATCAGTTTAACTACTTAGTTATGTCACTTTATCACTAGACTGATAATCTGATAGATATTGTTTGTGTGACTTCTACTGTGGTTTAATTGTTGTCTTCATGTTTAATCAATCATTAAATAGATAATTTATCAAACTTATAAAGTTATTCTATTCCTTATAATTCAGCTATGCCGAGGTATTGATAAGAATGATAAATTGTTAACTAGAAGAAACACGACAGCAAATAAATATCAGTTCTGTGAAAATTCAAACAAAAAGTTTTTACATGATGGATGTTCTTATAATAGCAAAAATGTAAGGAATGAGTGGTTTTCACAGTAGTGAAATGGTAATTAGATAGTGAAACAGGAAAAAAGGATAAGTTACTTAGACTAGTCAGAATAACCACGTTTATAAATATCATATGAAGTGACTGTATGCCTACGCATTTTTAGTAAGTTAAGTCATTTGAATGACTAATGTATTCACTAACTGTAGATTTCTATTGGAAAGACAGATTCAGCTTCTTCACGTAAATTTCTAGGAATGTAAATGAGTCAGACAGAGCATAATAATGAAATGCGGAAGACTAATCCATAAACATCATTCCAGCTGAATGTTCAGCATAAATAAAATATGCTTTGGTTTTGACTTATTTTACCTTTACTTTAACTGTGAAGAATGATATTCATAAATCTGAAAACAAACACACCAAGTTGTATAATCAGTATAATTAAAATCGGGTGAACTAATAACTGCATGTGAACTGATAGAAATTAAGTAATTCACCTTTAACAGAGTTATTTTCAGTTGTAAAAATCAGATTTAACTGACGTTCTTGTCAGTGTACTTCTCAATACGTCTCACTTTGAAATCCACTCACTTTTAGAACAAGCATTTCTCCAAATTTTGATTCTGTAACTTGTGTGCTTAGGGAATTGAAATATTCTTTTTATTTTGAACTATGCAAGTATTTTTTACTGTATTTTGTTTCAGCAAAATATCAGACTGAAACAATATTCTAAATACTATTGCAAACAAGTGTTTTCCTTCCGTTACTCTTAAAATATCCTTCATTTTTTAACTTATACTTTAATCAGTCTGCCTAATATTCCAGATGAAATGGCATAAAGCATATTCAAATCATTTAACTCTGAAACTATATAGATGAACAGTTATATGGTCAGAAAGTAGATTTTTAATGAATTACAATAACTGAACTGTATATGTTTCTTGTCAGCTCAAATGGTTGTCGTCTGCCTCCAGCAACCTAATAAACAATACATCATTTGCATTTTTAAAATTTACGCTGTTCACGCACTAACTTCTGTCTTCAGGCTGTACAAGCCATTCGTGGAGGTTTTCACCCAGAATTATTTGTGATATAAAATCAAGATTCTGTGGTTTAACAGAGAGTTGTAAGAAATTGGTAGTCAGCTTTCCACTCAGAAATAAAATGTACTGAAATTAGACTCAATTTTACCAGTGTTGCACAACGGATGATTATATGGCTCTAAAACTGAGTTAAAATAACTAGTTTTTCGATGACATCAATAAGGTGTAATTTAAACTAAGACAAATCAGGTGTTTGTTTAGAATAATATGAGGCCAGCATTTATTTGCTCCGTTTCCCTTCGGCTGTTTACAACCTAAAAGTTGATTATATAAATGTACACAGAATTTTGTCATACTTACAAGGATCAACATGATTTTTGTTAACAGAGACAAGTGCTAATACCGAAGCAAATGCTTAGAACAGTGCTACTGCCAGACATCTTGTTGATATAAGCCATTGAGTTAGATAACGTGAAATCCTTCAAGATTATTAGTAGACAACATAACTCAACTCGTTTCCAATTCGGCGAAGCAGTCGCTATTAAACGTTTAAAGCCTGACTTATGTGTTCAGAATGATTCGCTTATTAGTCTTTCTTTGCCTTGGTGACTCAATATCTCTTCTGTCTGTCTCATTTGATTACACAATCTCTTGCTTTCACCTGACACCCACTTTTGTCTTAGTGTAATTCACTCCTTTTTGTTTCTATGACTTTAGTTAAAATCAGCACCTCATTACTCATCATCAACTACTCTCTTTTCTTGACTGTTCAACTCAATTTTCAATGTATCCGACCATTAATTTTGCATGTTTGTACTCTGATTTCCTTCATAAGTTATATAAATGGAATTTCTCAACACTGTCTATTAACATTCGTCTCTGTTAACAAAAGTCATGTTGATCCTTGCATATATATATATATATATATATATATATATATATATATATATAATTTTAGTGGACATCCTCTCGGCATGAAGCAAGTATCTTAATATCCTGATAAAACCTCACGGTTAATGGCATACTAAAGTGAGAGCAACCGATACCAAACCGCAAATTTTATTACTTTAGTTTTAATCAATTAACAGGCTAGCAAATTTTTCATTGCAACAGAAGCTAAATGTTTACTGCCTAAATAAGAAACTTCTATGAATAAATCTGTGCTCCCCAAAACAATATATCATTCTAGGTAACAGACTAAAACTGAATAGTACGTCGTGTTTCTTATCTTACCTGTTTACTAACATTTTTAAATATGATAGAGAACTACAACGACATCAAAATATTAACATTTTTCTACCGACTTACTTAATCATGTGATTTTTGTGCATCAGTATCTTGTTCTTGTCATTGATCCTCACGTTTTTATTTTCTTCGACAAAGTTAGGTCATATTACATATATAAATACAATAGTAATTTAGATTATACCAACTAACCATTTTGAAGCAACTGTTTAGCACTCTGGATTATTGTTTCACTTTTTATTTCCAATAATCTAAAGTATGTTAAAATTGTAGTAAAGTAATTAACTTTCATAATTTAGGTCGAAGGTTGCTACTGCTTTGTTAAAATTCATTAAGGGGAATTCGTGTATGAGATGTTTTATTCCTTCTGTATGATAAATACTTAAATTGTTGGCAAAAATCATTTTGAGGGAATCAAACAATTTTATGAGAGTAGTAGCTGCTTTTCAAGAAGATGACAAGTTACTTGATTTTGTTTAAGAATAGGGAAATTTTGAGTTATAGAAGAATTCTAAAATGATATGCATTTGTATTCAGTCATTCTTAAGTGGCAACATCATTTAAAATTAGGTTTATTAGGTGTAATATTATGTATAAATGATGTGTTACTGA